CCTACTATTTGATTTTTAGAGTAGACTTGTTGGGATAAAATATATACATATACACTCATAGCTGCGTAAATCTATGCTTGCTGTTTTGATTCCTTTTGCTACATTATTCAAAGTGTAATAGTTTCTATATGATTTATAAAAGGAATAACGATAAGGTTTAGCTTAATAGGGATATAGCATAGTATTAAAGTCCAATAACTAGATCATATGAAAATAAAAGTTTAGACATATGAAAACATGAATTATAGTAAAAGTTTTGTAGTTTAAGAAAAAAAAATTTAACTGAGTTATAAGGCGTTATGTTAAATTGTAATAGGTTAATAGTATAGTGTTAAGTTGATAATATTAATTGTTAAAAATATTGGGAATCAGTGAACTTGGATTGAACCTAGAGTTAACTCAGGAAAGTTTTTTGTATTATCAGGGTATAGAGCAAAGAGTATAATATGAATGATTCGTTGAACATTATGGAAAACACTTTGAACGATTTGTATTGAAATTGTGCACCTGTGACCTTGATGTAAGCACGGCAGGCATCATGGAATTTGAATTGTTTGCTTGGAAATTGCAGATCTCGTGGTGGTCTTGTGATGCATAGTTTGTAAAGCACGAAACTTGTACGCCCCCAGTGAGTGATTATCACATTGCTGGAGGGTATAGAAAATGGTATATAAGTTGGAAAAGGTTTGAATAAAATCGGCTTCAGTCTTGGCCAGACTGTTCCCAGAAGAGCTGCCTCCGAGTAGTTTTCTTCTCTCCGTTCTGATTCACCGGTGCGGTCCTAACCCTTCCCTGGTCAGTGCAGGTCACCGACATTGTAGAGACAAGGTCTTGCCAAGTTGCCCAGGCTGGTCTCAAACCCGCAGGCTAAGGCAGTCCATTTGCCTTGGTCTCCCAAAGTGCTGGGATTACAGGCTGAGCCACCAAGTCTGGTGTTTATTCCAATCTTATTATCACATATTGACATATATACTAGTTATTGTCACCTCCTAGTTGTCTCTTTTACAGGTTAAAAGGATATTCACTTATCTAAATTGAGGCTGGGAGAAATAATCAGCCATTTGGTACCCTTGGTTACAATTTAAGAATATTTCTTGATTGTTTTAGAGTATTTCTTAGTGTTTAGTGTTATCCATGGGGGCACCTGCATAAGAATAACCTGAGATGCTTGTTAAAATACAGATTCCTGGTCTTCAGTCCAGACCTATTGAGCTAAAATACTGAGGCAAAATGGAGCTCAACATGTGCCCCAGTGATTTTGATGTGCCTGAGTCTGGGGAAATATGCACTGCAGTACTTCTCCAACTCAATAAAAATGCACATTCTGATTCAGTAGGTATAGGATGAGGCCCAAGACTAAATTTCTAACAAGCTCTTAGGTATTGCCAGTGCTATTCATCCATGGATCATATTTTGAGTACCAAGGCTGTAGTCAAAAGAGAACAGGATTTGGTATTCAAAGATCTGGGCAATCCCAGCACTTTTGGAGGTCCAGGTGAGATGATTGTTTGAGCCCAGGAGTTTGAGACCAGCCTGGACAACATAGTAAGATCTAGCTCTACAAAAATACAAACAAAAAAGTTAGCTGGGAGTGGTCATGCATCTCTGAAGTCCCAACTATTCAAGAGACTGAGGCAGAAAGATCACATGAGCCCAGGAGATTGAGTGAGATCCCTGACTCAGAAAAACAGAGTGAGATCCCTGACTCAGAAAAAAAAAAAAGAAAAAATGTGGGTTTAAATCCTGACTATGTAAATAAATGACTGTGTGACTGTAAATGCAATGAGTTACCTCTCTGCCCTTACTTGAAGAATGAGAACTCCTTTGAAGTTGTTTTGTGGATCACATATTTAGAGAGAGCTACATGTAACTAGGGAAGTGAAAAGAAAGCCAAGAGAAAATGAAGTTAGATATCTGCCTCATGTCAAAGTAAAATAAAAATTGAAATGTAAAAATAAAATGACAGCCGGGTTCGGTGGCTCAGCCTGTAATTCCGCGCCTTTGGGAGGCTGAGATGAGTGGACTGCCTGAGCCCGTGGGTTCGAGACCCGCCTGGGCAGCGAGACCTCATCTCTACAATAAATCAAAAAATTAGCTGGGCATGGTAACGCGCGCCTGTAGTTCCAGTTACTTGGAAGGCTGAGGTGGAAGGATCACCGGAGCCCAGCAGGTCGAGGCTGCGGTGGCCGGGAGCGGCCACTGCACTCCAGTCTGGGCGACAGAGTGAGACTCCAACTCAAAATAAATAACATAAAATAAAATAAAATAAAATGAAACTAGAGATCTACTAGAAGAAGGTACAAGAGAAGATTTATAAAACTGTGGGCAGGAAAAGCCTTTTTAATCAACACTAAAGACAAATTATGAGATAAAATATCAATATATTTGACAACAAAAGTAAAAGCTTTCATGAATTTTTAGAAAAATACATATGAACAAACACATATAAATACACTCTTACCATATGACCCAGAAATCAGGTCCTTAGTATTTATCCAAATTAGTTGAAAACTTATGTCTACACAAAAAAAACTGCATATAGATGTTTATAGCAGCTTTATTTATAATTAACAAAAATTGGAAGCAACAAAAACGTCCTTCAGTAAGTGAATGGTTAAATAATCTTTGGTATACCCAGACAATGAAATATTATTCAGCACTAAAAAGAAGTAAGCTATCAAGTCATAAAAAGACACAGAGGAAACTTAAATGCATATCACTAAGTGAAAGAAGTCAATCTGAAAAGGCCACATACTGTATGACTCCAACTGTATGACATTCTGGAAACGGCAAAACTATGGAGGCAGTAAAAAAGGTCAGCAGTTGCTAGGGGTTAGGAAGGAGAAAGGGATGAATGGCAGGGAATAGGATTTTGTGGCAATGAAACTGCTCTGCATGATACTATAATAGTAGATTCATGTCATTATACATTTGTCAAAATCCACAGAATGTACAATTCCAATGGTGAATGTAAACTGTGGACTTTGGGTGATAATGATGTGTCCATTTAGAGCAGTTTTAGATTCACAGCAAAATGGAGCTTAAAGTACAGAGAGTTCCCATGTACCCTCCATCTCCCTCCACACATAGCCTCCCCGCTGTCAACATCCCACACAATCAATGAACCTAACCTAAATGGACACATCATTAAATTCACTCAAAATGGATCTAAATGTAAAACTAATAGAAATGTAGAACTAAGTGTAAAATCTAAAATCATAAAACTTCTGAGTCAGGAGAGGTGGTATGTGCCTGTAGTCCCAGCTACTAAAGCAGCTGAGGTGGAAGGATTGCTTGAGCTCAGGAGTTCAAGCTCCATTCGTGGCAGTGAGCCATGGTCACACCATTGCACTCCAGTGTGGGCAACAGAGTGAGACCCCATTTCTTTTTTTTTCTTTTTTTTTTCCTTTGAGTTGGAGTCTCACCCTGTCGCCCAGACTGGAGTGCAGTGGCAGCTCCCGGCCACCACAGCCTCGACCTGCTGGGCTCTGGCGATCCTTCTGCCTCAGCCTTCCAAGTAGCTGGAACTACAGGCGTGCGCTACCACGCCCGGCTAATTTTTTGTTTTTTGATTTATTGTAGAAATGAGGTCTCGCCAAGTTGCAATCCACTCACCTCGGCCTCCCAAAGCACAGGATTACAGGCTGAGCCACGGAGCCGGGCTTGAGACCCCATTTCTTAAAAACAAACAAACAAACAAACAAAAACTTCTAGACAAAAACATGGGAGAAAATTTTGTGATCTTGGGTTAGGGAAGATGATACCAAAAGTATAATCCATAAAAGAAAAAAAATTGATAAGCTGGACTTTATCAAAGT